AAAAAAAAAAAAAAAAAAAAAAATTCTTATCACTAGTGCATTGCTGTTGGTACTGTGGTGTTCCAGAATGGTGAAAATTTCTTGGAGAAATTTTAAATAACATTTTTTAATTGATTTACATAATATTTGTATTTGTGGAAATTGCAGTGTATCATTAAATTGGGCAAAAAACACTTTGTGTTAATTTTTTTTTTTTTTTTTTTGAGATGGAGTTTCACTCTTGTTGCCCAGGCTAGAGTGCAGTAGTGCGGCGATCTTGGCTCACTGCAACCTTCACCTCCTGAGTTCAAGACAGTCTCCTGCCTCAGCTTCCCGAGTAGCTGGAATTACAGGCATCCTCCACCATGCCCAGCTCATTTATTGTATTTTTAGGACAGACGGGATTTCACCATGTTGGCAGGCTGGTCTTGAACTCCTGACCACAAGTGATCCACCCACCTCAGCCTCCCAGAGTGCTGGGATTACAGGCGTGAGCCACCATGACCCGTCAAAAAAAATTTTTTTTTCAGAGGCAGGATCTCACTTTGTCACCCAGGCTGGTTTTGAATGCATGGCCTCCAGAGATCCTCCCACTTTGGTCTCCCAAAGCACTCGGATTACAGGTGTGAGACACTGATCTTGGTCTGTGTTTAGATTTGGAGTTTGGTTTTAGGCTTGGATAATTATAAATAGATTTGTTTTTTCCTACATGAATGTCCTGTGAGATATTCAAAAGACACACAGGATTTGAGACAGTTCTTCATTGTGTGATACTGTCCGTTGCACTGTAGGATGGGCTAGCATTCCTTAGTACCCTCTACTAAATGCCAGTAGTCCACCCTCACAATTATTATGACAACCAAAAATGACTTCACAAATTTCCAAATGCCATATATGAGGTGGTAATTACATCCATAAAAAATTTCTAGGATAGAGTGATGAAGAAAAGAGATTTGCTGATAAAATTCTTTTTCTTCCCCATATACTCAATGTACTAAGCTAATAAGTGATAAGATTCTTGAGCAAAGGAGATAATGAAAGAAAAGTATGTTTGAGGCATATTCTGATAACTGTTTTCCAGGTAAGAAAGGAAAAAAGAAGCAACTGCATTTTTTTCTGTTTTCTTTTATTTTCTTTCTTTTCTTTTCTTTTTCTTTTTTTTTTTTTAGCAGTTACAGTTTATAAAGCATTTTCACAAATTTTATACACTTCACATCAACTGTGTATTTAGTATCTCCATCATTTTACAGAGGTTGCAGAGGGAGCTCAGAAATGCTGTGATTTATTAAAAGTCATTTTAATGAAAGACCTAGAGTTAAGATCCGGATATGGCTTCAAACCCAATGTTCTTTCCATTATATTATAGCATTGCTAGGATGATGAGGGCAGAAAAAGGAATTTTTTTTAAGAGGGAAAATTTGAGACTCACAATAAAGCTAGAATTAGCAAGACTTTAATTGGATAGCTTTAAATTAACTGTCACTGACATTCTGAGAAGAAAGGTGACCAAAGCTTCTTTTCAAACTGAGGATTAATACATATCCCCTTCTTATTCTTACAGGACATTGATATGCAGCTGAGTGAAATAATGAACAATGTGCATCGGATAATGACTCGCTATACTCTTGTTTTTGCCTCGTCCTCTGAAAGGAATGTCTCCCTTACAGAACAAAAGAAAAAACAGAGAACCAATTTTCTTGAGAAAATGGCTACTTATGCTAAGACTGTTGAAATTAGAGAAAAGACTCTTGCCAACATTCTGATCTGGTTGGAAGAATGGAGTAAGTTTACAGAAGCGGTTCAGAGTAAAACCATAAAGTTAATGAAAAAGATAGAGAAGAGAATGTATAAGTAAATTTTGAAGGATTAATCAGACTAAAGAAGAAAAGACTAAGGAGGTTATTCAGAGAATGGTTATCCTCTATTCCAGTAGGAATAAAATAGGAAAAATATAGACTTGTTCACTAAGCGCCAGCTATGCTGGCCTCCTTTTTTTTTTAAAGCATGCCAGCAGTGTCTTTATGCATACTATTCCCTTATCTGGAGCATCTTCCACCAGATGGACACATGGCTCATTCCCTGCTTAAATTCCACTTTAAAATGAGATGTTCTCTGACCATCCCCAATCCCTACCACCTGGCACTTTTTCTTACACTTTACCTTTTTTTTTTTTTTTTCCCCCAAGAGAGGGTCTCACTCTGTCACCCAGACTGGAGTGCAGTGGTGCGATTCCGGCTCACTGCAACTCCCGCCTCCCAGGCTCAAGCGATTCTTCTGCCTCAACCTCCTTAGTAGCTGGGACCAGAGGCATGCACCACCACACCCAGCTAATTTTTGTATTTTTAGTAGAGACAGGGTTTCACCATGTTGGCCAGGCTGGTCTTGAACTCCTACCTCAAACGATCCACCTGCCTTGGCCTCCCAAAGTACTGGGATTACAGGCATGAACCACTGCGCCCAGCCTACATTTCTTTATTTTTGTCTATAGCATTAGTATCTATATAATTAACTTTTTCTCTGTCTCCTTTCACCAGAAGGTAAGCAGTATGAAGTCAGGGAACTTGTTTTACTTAATGTTGTATCTACAGCATCTAGAATAGCACACGTCAGAGTAGACACTGGTTGAATGAAACAATGAATAAACTGGTCAGGTGTGGTGGCTCACGCCTGTAATCCTAGCACTTTGGGAGACTGAGACAGGTGGATTGCCTGAGCTCAGGAGTTCGAGACCAGCCTGGGTAACACGGTGAAACCTCGTCTCTACTAAAATACAAAAAATTAGCCAGGTGTGGCGGCATGTGCTTGTATTCCCAGCTACTATGGAGGTTGAGGCAGGAGAATTGTTTGAACCTGGGAGGTGGAGGCTGCAGTGAGCTGAGGTTGCACCACTGTACTCCAGCCTGGGTGACAGAGTGAGACTCCATTTCCAAAAAAAAAAAAAAGAATGAATAAACTAAGAATACCAAACAAGGGAATTAATTTTATTTTGTTGCTAGAAATTTCATGCAACGAGGGTTATAAATACTGGATAATGGCCGGGTGCGGTGGCTCATGCTGGTAATCCCAGCACTTTGGGAGGCTGAGGCTGGCAGATTACCCCAGGTCAGGAGTTTGAGATCAGCCTGGCCAACATGGTGAAACCCCATCTCTACTAAAAATTCAAAAATTAGCTGGGCGTGGTGGCTCATGCCTCTGGTCCCAGCTACTAGGGAGGTTGAGGCAGGAGAATCGCTTGAACCTGGGAGGTAGAGGTTGCACTGAGCTGAGATTGCGCCAGTGCACTCCAGCCTGGGTGAGAGTGAGACTCAGTCTTAAAGAAAAAAAAACCAAAAAAACTGGATAACTTGCCAAATGAGTTAATTAGGGCTTAGATCTCCAATATTAAAACACATACACATAGGCCGGGTGTGGGGGCTCATGCCTATAATCCCAGCACTTTGGGAGGCTGAGGTGGGTGGATCAGCTGAGGTCAGGAGTTCAAGACCAGCCTGGCCAACATGGTGAAACCCCGTCTTTACTAAAAATACAAAAATTAGCTGGGCATGGTGGCACATGCATGTAATCCCAGCTACTCGGGAGGCTGAGACAGGAGAATTGCTTGAACCCGGGAGGCAGAGGTTGCAGTAAGTTGAGATAGCGCCACTGCACTCCAGCCTGGACAGAGCAAGATTCTGTCTCAAAACAAAACACACACATACACACACACATAATTTTAGGTACCAAACCAGACACTTTTTAACCTGATTAATGTATTTATGTCTAAGACTTACTGTTTAGCCTTCTATTCCAAGTTTCTTCCTTTTTAATTTCTTCATAGAGAAAAGCCTCAGAATGGCAGTAAGTGTGAGATACCTATATTCCCCAATTTACTATATTGAGTAGTTACCCAATATTATAAGCCTATGTAGCTATAGATTTTTTATTTTTCTGCATAAAAACGATTTTTTTTTTACTCTCTTCAAGATGCCGTTTTGTCTGAGATGACTCTAATGGATGTTGATGAACACTACCACTGGATAGCACGAATGGAGATGTTACCAGATACGTTAAAAGCTATTGAGAAAAATGTCAAGATACTAAGCAGATTTAGTACAGCTTTCCTTGATGAAAAGAAGAAACAAAAGAAAAAAATATGTAAGCATGCTTTATGATTTTGGAGTTGGAGTAGATGGAGTTTTTTTTTTTTTCTTTTTTTTTTTTCCAGACAGTCTTGCTCTATCACTCAGGCTAGAGTGCAGTGGCCTGATCTCAGCTCAATGCAACCTCTGCCTCCAGGTTTCAAGCGATTCTCCTGCCTCCACCTCCAGAGTAGCTGGAACTACAGACATGTACTACCACGCCTGGCTAATTTTTGAATTCTAATAGAGACAGGGTTTCACCATGTTGGCCAGGCTAGTGTCAGACTCCTGACCTCAAGTTATCCACCTGACTCGGCCTTCCAAAATGCTGGGATTACAGGCATGAGCCACTGCACCTGGCCAAAAAAACCCCAGCTTTATTAAGGCATAATTTGCATACATGTTAAGTATACAATTAAATGATTTTCCGTGTATTTACAGAGTTATGCAGTTATCACCACAATCTAATTTTATTTTTATTTATTTTAAATTTATTA